AAAATTGCGGTAGCTAACCCTCATGCAAAGCAACTATGGCTCTATGGCTATGTAACTATATATGTAAATTTAACGATAAATAAAGAAGTTAAAAAAATCATATTTCCACAAACTCTTGCGTTATCAAAAATCATCAAATCATATATTGATGATATATATATATATATATATATATATATATATATATATATATATATATATATATATTACTTTCATTTTAGGGGAGATATTCGCTATATAGTTTCCCGGTTTGGCAGGCGGGTTAACACACGCAGTTAATTATTTTCAAATCGTTATTAGGAACACCTAGGAATGAGGTTGTCCGCAATAGAACCAGAGTAACCGACATAGCCCAACGGATTAGTAAGCTGAAGTGGCAATGGCCCGGCTCGCATAGCTCGAAGATACGTGGAAAGTAAGTCTGTACGGTAGGCGTGATGGACACCCAGCGATAACGTGCGTCGATTGCAGGCTACCGTGGCTTGGGTCTTGGGCCTATGTTCGTGGGACTTGTGAAGGTATGTAATGATGATGATGATTAGGAAGACGTTGTCGACGACTGCCCAACTCCTAGTCTATTTCTCTCTGTCACCTCATACGATATCCATGAGACAATATAATATGATATAGTTAGTGAAATACAGTGTAAATAAAATAATTGGTTACGGACTCTGCGATTTTTCAAAGCAAGCTAGAACCAGAAGTTGTTCAAACTTGTATTATAATAAATACCATGGCATGCCTAGGAAAACTACATACGTCAATAATGAAAGCTACGATGCAATAAATAAATTTTAAATGGTTTTTTTTAATAAATAAGATTTTTGCCTCGGATGCTTGTCCTTTAAACCAGGTTTTCATTTCGTTTTGGGATCTTCATTTTCATAGATTTCTTCTTCACACTATACTGACGAGCTATATTGCAACATTTTTGAAAGATTGTAACGACTGCTTAACCCAGCAGACAGTTGATGATGACAGTCACTTTCATAAGGCGCCTAAGCGATCTTTTTTCGTCGTTTTCTCTAATGGTTGACATCTGCAGACACCTAATACACAAAATTACATCACTTTTCTGTATCAAAATCCACTTTAAAACCATTATTTAAACTATAAAACAGGAGCAACAATCCGTCGACGGTCAAGTTCCCGCCAAAACTCCCGAATTTAAAATAAGTTCTTTGAAAGATCCAGATTATATCGTAAAAACTAATAACCAATATATAGTGTCTACTGAGTGCTAACGAAAATATGTATCTTTATTGCAAGTAACGTAATGATAGTGTAAGAATATCCACTATCCCATATCATCCCGTGGGTGTCGTAACAGGCAACGGAGGGAAACAAATCAGGAGATGGGTAGCAGCGTCTTCCTAATAATTAATTAAAAAAATCTGCGGTTGTCACCCCTCAAATATCTCTCTTTGAGCCAATCTATGAAGAGGCCTATGTTCAGCAGTGGAATTTAATAGACTGTAACGTTTATTGCAACATAAGTTTTTGTAGGTTAACTGGGAAGAATATGTAGCATAGAAGAAAAAAAGCGCCATCCAAAAACGCTTCATTAAAGAATTGTCTTAAGAGGTTAGAGTAAGTCAGCTCAAATTCTAATTTCGCCCCCACTTCCCCGCGCGTCGTATGCTATGTACCGAAATATTTGTAATCACTAATACTGTAAGTAGAAAGGTCGTTAGACACTTATTTCATTAGGTTTATCATATTTATGCCTGTTTCTTAAAGCCAAGCCAGCCGCTTCTTATTTTTATCACGGTTATTTCCCATTTTAATTTTACGTCGTACTGTTGCGTAATGTATATTCTGATCGTAAGCGACACAACTTCTCCCTTCAAAAGCCTAAGCGATACTAACGGAACGACAGGAATCAAGCTCAAGACGCCGATAGTTTAGGTAATTTCTTTTTACAGTGAAAATAATGGTATTTTAAAAAAAGTAAATAACATAAGCACTGCTTTATAGTTAGTTCAGTTAGTATGCAAAGTTTCATGATCTTATTTAAAGTATTTTATGAATAACAGCGGTTTATTGTTTATTTTGGAGGTAACTTTGGATTTTTTTTCTATCGAGAAAATTTTACGAAATCGTGTTTTCATCTAACATAATCATTAACATTAATCCTCAACTTTACCATATATTTATTTCAAAATTAATGCTGCAATATTTTCGGCATAACGAAGGATCTTGCTAAGCCATTTGACATTATATTTCCCCTTAAGCGATGTTTTTCTTAGCCGTGTATTGGTAACATTAGAGAATCTACTACCATTTAATATCTCCTGGGGTGGAACACTCCGTAAGAGGGATAGAGAGGAAACTGAAACTGGTGATGAGATGCAGCATATCAAAATAATTAATCTGGGCTTGTCAATCCGCCTGCCAAACGTGGCAACGATGGAAAATATCTCTCCAATCAGTCGATGTATGTGGGAGGCCTATTTTCAACAGTAAACTTTTATTTAGACGTTTTAATTGAATAAGGGTGACTAAACGAACTCAGCACATCAAGTAAAGCTAAAGCTAAGTAGATGCTATGGCCAATACACAATAATAATAATAATATTCCACAACTATCACACAACGCCATCTAGTCCCAAGCTAAGCAGAGCTTGTGTTATGGGTACTAGACAACTGATAAACATATATATTTCTAAATACATAAATATTATAGATAAATTACACCCAGACACAGAACAAATGGTCGTGCTCATCACACAAACATTTGTCCTGGGTGGGAATTGAACCCACGACCTCCGGCATAGCAGTCAGGGTCACTAACCACTAGACCAACAGGCCTGGCGAAACAATGTCTATCCTTGATTAGTTACAGCCTATTAAAGCCCACTGGTGAATAAAAGCGTCCCCCATAGATTGCCCATTATCTTCGCCCCTTTGTTGTCGATATTCCACGCATTGCAACCAAACGGTTTGCTCCGACTTTTTTAATGCGTACAGCAAAGGAGTGGAATAATTTGCCGGCGTCTATCATTCCGTCCGAATACAATCTGGGCGCCTTTAAAGCAAGAGTGAATAGGCATTTGTTACGCTAAGACAGTGCGTAACAAATGGTTTACCATCTAAGGCTGCATCACCACTTACCACCAGGTGGGGTTGTGGTCAAGCACAATCCAGGGGAATATTTGCCATAGTTGCTACGCTTGGCAAGCGGGATGGCAACTGCAGTCTTTTTATATTTAGTCGTTATTAGGAAGACACCGCTGCTCATCTCCTGATATCTTTCCCTCTGTCGCCTCTAACTGACCCACCACTACGGGATGATATATTTATACACCGCCACTACACGGTTTTGATTTTGATTGGTATTACCTTGATTAAGCGTAAAAACACTCAAATATTAAAAAAATCTTGGTTATTCATACATACATACATAAATACATAAACACTCATGCCTGTCACCCAGAGGGGTAGGCAGAGACTACAGACTTCCATTTGGCACGATCCTGACACACCTCTCTCGCCTCCTTCACATCCATACACCTACGCATACATGCTCGTCGGTTAAGGGTACTCCTAATTTGGCCCGTTTTTAATAAATCGCCAATTTGGTCGATAAATTTTCGCCTAGGACGTCCCTTTCCGACTCTGCCATTCACTTCTGCAACATAAATTTTCATAAATTTTCAAACCACACTCTTCTCTTATTACACAATTTCTTACCCTGTCATTCGGATTCAGCCCTAATATACTCCTTAACGACCGCATTTCTACTGCGTTCATTCTACTCTCGTGCTTCTTCTGCCACACCCAACTTTCACTACTATACGTTAAAGTAGGGACCAACACAGCATTGTGAATTGCCATGCGTGCCGTTTTCGAAACATTTTGACTCTTCACAATATAGTGTAGGGCCCTATTTACTCTATTTCCCGCATTCACTCGTCGTTCTATATCCTTATCATATCTCCCATCCCTGCTAAATACGCAGCCCAAATATACAAACTCGTCTACTTGCTCGATCAACTCCCCTTCTATTCTTATTTCACAAATCGTTTTACTTTCTTCTCTTTCAAAAACCATAACCTTCGTCTTACTTGCGTTCACTTTCATACCCCTTTCTGGTTATTCATAGTGAAAGGATAAATATTAATGATCGTAATTAAACTGTGATACCATCAGGTGGGTTGAGTACTGGCCACTCTTAGTTGAAATAAAATAGTCCCAATTATCTTTGGAAGTTTAATTTTATCTGTTACATAAATATTTTCTCTTAAACTTCGGTGTAATAACAATTAGTGTGAAGGACTCTGGTGTATTTTCTTCAATCACAGGTGCTAAAGCATTTCGCCGCTTAGGTCAAGGAATGAGAGGCAGCGGGAGCGTTAGCGGGTAATTGCGCGGGCGTGGATTGCGTGGGTGCCCTAGTGATGGGAACAACTGTTATTTATATTTGTGTGTTAATAACACTGCTAATTTTTATCTCAAATTCTATCAAGTGAAAGTTAAAAATGTATATTATTTGTAACTAAACGTAATTAAATAAGATTTGATTATTACAAATAATTATAAAATAAAATTTATTAAAAAATAAAATTAACTACAACCATTCATTATTACTTGTCCCTTCGCCTTTTCGGAAACGGTTCTCTCTCATTTTAGGGATTGCCACAGTCGTCATTGTTGGCAACTAGATTCGCGACCACAGTCTTGAAGTGCACACGATAATGCCCGCGCCTCTCCGAAGAATACTTCATTTTTGAAACAGTGACAAATTTTTCAATAAGGAAATATTTGTAAAACTAAATATATAAATATGAGTTAATAGATAAATTTATAATTTTTTTATTACAATCAAGTATTTGGCACATCTGTGTGGAGTTGCATCAGAACAAATGCAATAGCTTGTTCTCATATATTTCTTGGTTGCGAATATATTTATTGAGTTATTTGGCGAAACGAACTGCTATTTGCTATTAAGTGCGCGCTAAGTATTAATAGCGAAACACGGTACGGCACTAGCGCGCGGTTTGTTTACGGAGGAGCGCAGTCCGGCGCGCCGAGCCGCCGCTCGCGCAGCACCCTATATTCAGTTCACGGCCGCTCTATTACCGGGCGGCTATTTCGGCGCGACTGGGCAGGTGCGCGCGCGACGGCATGCGCGCCTGACGGCCATGGAGCGCCGCCGCCGCCCCAGCGAGCCCATGGCGAAGGCTGTCCGCCGCCGGGAGAAACCGCGCGAGCGCTGGCTCCTCACGCGCAAGACATGGAAGTACATGTCCGATGCCGGCCGCCGTCTCGTCCCCGACGGCGCGCAGAACCGAACCGAGGACGTCCCGCGCATCGAGGCCTACTTCCAGGAAGTGTGCTCCCGGGAGCCGCGCTTCCTGCTATGGCGGAAGAGCTCGTATCCGAGCGCGTTGCCGCGCCCGCGGCGGAAGAAACGCGCACGCGGCGGATCGGTTCGCGCGCGCTCTCCGCCGGATGAGGCGCCTCCACGTCCCACCGAACTGTTCATCGGTCACACTTCAGGCGGTCGTTTCGATCTCGCTAAGCTGCGGCGAGATTTCTTCACGGCGCCCCCACCGCCACCTGCTACTACAGCGTTCTCTCTCCCGGGCAAAGCGCCCGCCGATGATGACGAGAGTGTTTTAGTTGATTTGCTGCGAAAGTACCTGAAAGTAGGAGACGATAAGACGGCACCGAGAGCCTCGGACGCCGACGAATTAGTGTTAGCGATTAGAAAGTATTTGAAGCGGCAGACTGAGCGCAGTCCCGTCGACGCCGACTCAGATCCCGCGCGAAGGGCTCTCTTCGAAACTCTAGGGAAATATTACTCTAGAACGCCGAACAGAGACAATGTTGTGCAGGACTTGTTGGGCGATAGAACTCTGTTGAAAAAACTCTATCAAGATTTGCGTAAAACTAAACCGTATCGTGGTGCCAGAAGCGGCGGCACTAGTGGTGCCGGTGGCTTCGGTCCCGGTGGTTACAGCGTTGCTAACGCTAGAAGTGCTCTTCGTAGTCGAGCCTTTGGAGGAGTGCGCATTTATGATGGCGAAGATAGCGGTTTCCGTTCACCGCCAATGTCACCACCACCACTTATTGAAGTTATTTCCGAATCTTTGGAGGACAGATTTTGCGATCGTGGCACACAAACTCTTCCCATCCCGGATGAAGTGTTATGTGAGCTGGAAAGAGCATATCGAGAAAAGTTGGAAGCGGCTACAGCACCAACGAGCCCCACGAGTCCACCACCCGAACGCAAGCCAGCCCGCCGTCGCTCTAGCGTCGATCACGACGACGTATCGCAATCTGTCAGTGACACTATCAAACGGTACTTGAGAATGGCACGAAAGAAAAGCGTGGACTCAGAAAAAGTCGACCGCTTCAAGCGGATCAATTACGACAAGAACTTACGAAACATCAAACCTCGAGTACCTGGTGATGTGGATGATGACGGTCCTCATAAGGGTTGTCAGACAGAAGAAGCATGGATTCTCACGTACAGAGACTTACAATTTGCATCAGTGGTTTCGACGCCAACGTCCCCGCCTTCACCGTCGCAATCGCACTCGTTCTTGTCAACCATTCTTGGTCGCAATATGACAACAATGGCTCCCCCTGCAGGTGGCATGCAGAAGTCACGGTCGTCGAGTAGCGTGGTGCAAAGTGTCAGCAAGCGGCTGTGGCGGACGCGGAGCAGGTCGTCCAGCCGAGTCTCCACCACGTGGACGCCTCAGGTCAGTCGCACTAAAATCTTTTAAAGTGTTTTAATGTATGTGATGCATTGTTTTTTATAGTAGTAAGGACACAAGAGTAAACATACGAGCTCACATTCCACCCAATGGTAAAAAGATACTGTAGCTGTAGCCTACAGTATAGTGTACACCAACATGTAACATAGGTTAAGAATCAAAATGTAGATGCGATATCACCTGAAGACTAAGATAGAATGCTTCGTTTCCAGTAAAAAGTGTATCTGATTCTATACACTCGCCATAACACACCGTGCTAACGTGATATTTTTATGGTTCCCAATCGAGGTGCAGCTATTATATATTTACAGTTTGTTTTTACCACGTACAATGCGATAATGTTTACTATAACATAACTGTGTTGTATTTTATTAATATGTAATTTATTACCATTACTATTGAATAAACTGTTAACTATAACTTTACGAACGATTTTAATCATTACAGTATATTAAAGACCACTGGTGAACATGACCTCTCCAGTCTAGTAGGCCAGTTACCACGATTAGCAGGTGTAGAGCATCATTATTTAGAGTTTTTGTAATGAAGGTGATATTTCTTCTGTTTTAATTTCCCTCTCTCGTCTCTCACAACAACCACGGGGTATGTTCTAATAAACTGCTATTACACGACAACATAAAGTTATGAAAATAAAATAAACGTTTCACATTTATTTATGCCTATATTCTTACAACAAAATATTACTTTCTTGTATATAGATAGATAACATTTAATGCGCGCCAAAAAAACATAAATACTAACAAAAAAAGGAGAGAAAGAAATGTGGTACAATAGGCAGTCTTATCGCTACGATCGATCTCTTCCAGACAACATTTAGATGGCCAAGATTGCAAGAATACAATAAAAATATGTGTGTGATTTGGCGAGCTACAATAATAACATTATTTTTATTATAAATTATGAATTAGTTAAGGTCGTTGCTCAGGTGTCTCCTGACAATATATTTTATAAACACTGGCAGGGTATGCATCAGACGCTATAGGTGATGGAAAGAAATTGTTTTAAAGTACTATATTTTAACTCATAGTAGAGTTTAATTTGTAATTTTGTATGTGTATAATACTCTAATTCATTGTCTTTGACGCAAAATGTACTTAACATACGTGGGTTGATACCTTAATAAATAAATTTTATTATTATTTTTATTATAAACTGCATAATATAGAAGGGTACACAAGTATGTAGATAAGATAAATACACACATACTTAATAATATATACATGTAACTAGCTTGCCTGGCAGACGTTGTAACCCTTTTCGACGACCTTTTGTCATGTCCTATTAAAGATTCTTAAATTTGCAAACTGTGGGTCATTATTATATATATACGGTACGGTATCGGTAAAAAACTATCCTATCTCTCAAGTTAGACTAAACTGCACACGGTGTGCAAATTTGATTAAAATCGTTCAAATAGTTTAGGAGTCCATCGCGGACAAACAACGTGACCTGTAATTTATATATATATATATATATATATAAAAAAAAAAAAAAAAAGACTAGCTTGCCAGGCAGACGTTGTTCTGCCCTTTTCGACGGCCTTTGTCATGTCCTATTAAAAATCCTTAAATTCGCAAAAAAAATTTGGATCACTCACGGGCAAAAAAACTATCCTATCTCTCAAGTTGGACCAAACTGCACACGGTGTGCAAATTCGATTAAAATCGGCTAAGTACTTTAGAAGTCCATCGCGGACAAACAACGTGACACGTAATTTATATATATTAAGATGTATATATATTATAAATATAAATATATAAAAGTGCAGACATATATTTTGAAACTATTACATATAACATAAATACGCTATACATATAAACAAATAGTGTAGCTAGATAAAGGTAGAATAATTATATACATATGACCTAGTTTTATTCTATCAGTGTCTTATATTTACGATATTGTCATCATTATTACATCATCATAAATATTACAGTCTTTCAAAATATATATATATATATATAAAGACTAGCTTGCCAGGCAGACGTTGTTCTGCCCTTTTCGACGGCCTTTGTCATGTCCTATTAAAAATCCTTAAATTCGCAAAAAAAATTTGGATCACTCACGGGCAAAAAAACTATCCTATCTCTCAAGTTGGACCAAACTGCACACGGTGTGCAAATTCGATTAAAATCGGCTAACTACTTTAGAAGTCCATCGCGGACAAACAACGTGACACGTAATTTATATATATTAAGATGTATATATATTATAAATATAAATATATAAAAGTGCAGACATATATTTTAAAACTATTACATATAACATAAATACGCTATACATATAAACAAATAGTGTAGCTAGATAAAGGTAGAATAATTACATACATATGACCTAGTTTTATTCTATCAGTGTCTTATATTTACGATATTGTCATCATTATTACATCATCATAAATATTACAGTCTTTCAAAATCTACCGGTGAACAAATGTTACTGAATAGATTGTTTCGTAGGAAGGGGTTATTAATGTTATTTGCCGCGCTCAGCAGGCGGTTGGCAAATGTGGTTTTTATTTATTTATTTGTGTTATTAGGATGATGTTACCGCCAATCTTCAGTTTAATTTGCCTCTGTCCCCGCTGGATCTTATGGTGAATATTGTATCATCAGTTCGCACATATTTACTAACTTCCTATTTGAATGTTTTTATATTTCCATGTTTTGAGTTCTATACTTTTAAAACCAATGATTTTATAAGCTTATACTGAAACAAAACAGTCTGTGTATGTGTGCAGCTGGCTATACGTTAGTGAAATTTAACATAACATAAACACTCACGCCTGTCACCCAGAGGGGTAGGCCGAGACTACGGACTTCCATTTGGCACGATCCTGACATACCTCTTTCGCCTCCTTTACATCCATATATCTACGCATACATGCTCGTCGGTTAAGGGTACTTCTAACGTGGCCCTTTTTCAAAATATCGCCAATTTGGTGATAAACTTTTTCCTAGGGCGTCCCTTCCCGACTCGGCCATTCACATCTGCCATATAAATTTGCTTAGTCACTCTTTCCTCATTCATTCTTTCTACGTGACCAAACCACCGAAGCATTCCTTTCTTAATCCTGGTCACAACATCATCTTGCATACCACATTTATCTCTTATCACGCAATTTCTCACCCTGTCATTCAGATTACACCCTAGCATATTCCTTAAAGACCGCATTTCTACAGCATTTATTCTACTTTCGTGCTTCTTCTGCCACACCCAGCTTTCACTACCATACATTAAAGTAGGGACTAACACAGCATTATGAATTACCATACGTGCCTGTTTTGACAAATTCTGGTTCTTCATAATAGAGTGTAGTGCCCCATTCACTCTATTCCCTGAAATTTAATGTTTCATTTTAGAATTTTATTACTAGACTGTTGACTGTCTCAATATACTAGCGGTTGTAGTCCATGAGGTCCTGGGATCGAATTCCGGGCCGGGACAAAATTAGTTGTTGGGCTTTTCTATCAATAAATTCTCAATAGCCGCCCGGAATCTGAAAGTTGGCGGTGTTTCAACCCTTTGCCTCTGAAAGCACGTTAAGCCGTATGTCCTGCACCTGATCTTTCTTTTCACTATTCTTTTACTATTTGAAAACCTTTACACGTGGTAGAGCCACGCGGCAGCTATATTATGGTTGGAGCACGAATGGATCTTCACAGAATACCAGCGTAAATAGCAGTTTAATACTCCTGTGTTTCGTATGTTGAGTGTAGAGACCCGGAGACCTTTTCTACTGGAAACGAGGCATTCCATCTTAGTCCTCAGGGGTGACAACGCATCTGCGTTTTGATTCTTATTTAGGATAAATGTGGATGTCTACGGGCCACAGCATCCGCTTAGCATCAGGTGGACTATGTGCTCGTTTGTCAGCCGTATTCTATAAAAAAAATCTCTCTCCAGTCATGTCAAATTACAGTCCCATCGGACTATTAGAGTGAGGGGACAGAAAGTGCACCTGAGCTTGTGTATACACTCGGGCACTATAGTACGGTCCTACGCAGATGGCTAGTCAACGTTGAAACTGGCCGGTGTAACCGAAATTCGGCCTTGAGGATATTAACATTATTAAAAAAATATGATTTATTCGAATATAAACCAATTTATGTTGACATTTTATTTCAATGCAATAGCCGATTACGATAGCATAGAAATCGTCAGCGGTAACAATTTTATCGCGTTTTATTTTAACTTTTTAATTCCCGACATTTCGGGTCACGGGGGATTAGTTTCATTTCATGTGTAGTTGGTATTCGCGGTAATATAAGAAATCATTACAGAATAATTATTGCTTACAATGAATGCTTACAATACTAAAAGAAAAATAAGTAATCTTTATGTATTGTAGTAAAGCGTTTAGCCTATAAATCTTTATATCAATGAATTTTCTTTTCGTTCCAATTCGATTGATATATAGACGTTATGTGTATTTTTCTCCAACAACTCAGACAAAACACAGAGAAATATTAAAACGTTGTCAATCAGTATTACTGGCATAGACTAAACATTTTACTATTTGAAAAACTGTTTTTAAAGGTAGAAATCTCAATCAATTTGACGATCAAACAAACACTCCCACCTTCATGCACTTATTATTGAGTTTCGCGTTCCGAAACGATTCAATATAATAATTATATTTGCATTAATCATCTTGCATTGCGTTCTATTTTTTTTTGCACTTCTGAACGTTGTTGAATGGAACGTTGACTGGGTTTTTTTTTTCAAATCAATTCTATTTATTGCCGGAATGTAGTACATAATATAACGATCTTGTTAGTTATGAATGATAACTTACATTCTACGATAATTTTAAACGAGCAATTCTTATATATATAATCGGAATCTCGGAAACGGCTCCAACGATTTTCATAAAATTTAGTGTCCAGGGAGTTTCGGGGGCAATAGATCGATCTAGCTAGGATTTATTTTTAGAAAATATCTTTTTGTCCGCGTTTTCAGGCAAT